TTGCGCCGCCTCAACGGGATGATAAGATGAGGGGAAAAGGGGGAAATAAGAGAGAGAAAATTCAAGTGAAGAGAGGGAAGAGTAACTTGCTTAGAGCATAGAAGTTGGTAAAGGAGGAGAAGAGGAGCTTGATTGATCCAAAGGTATAACTCAACTTCTTAATTTTTTTAGGGCGTGTTTGGATTTCAACGGGGTTAAGGAAAGTTAAGAGAAACTAGGTGAGAGAAGAGAAGGGAAAGGAAAGGAGTTCTCTTCCCCTTGGTTACAGTACAATTTTGGAGGTAACAAATTTTATACTATTAAGGGGTGAACTAAGGGAACTAGGGTGAATAACTTCATTTTCTAAATGTTCCCAAACAAGGTGAATGGTTCCCCTAACTTCCCTTCTCTCTTGTTCCCCTCAATCCAAACAAGCCATTAGTTTATAGAAATTGAAGAATCTTTGGTTGAAAAAAATAAAAAATAAAATAAAATACATACCTAGCCCCCAGGAGGATCTCATCGTCGACCCCTAATTGCCAGCGAGCTCTCACCGTCGAGAGGCCACCCCCGACGGTGGCTGAGCAGCCGTAGAAAAAAAACACGGAAGGAATAAAAAGAGGAATAGAAGGAAGAAGGGGATAGAAGAGAGAGAAAGAGAATACTAAGTTAAAATAAAAAAAATCTTTTTGAGACCCCTAAAAGTTTATGAGTTTGTATATAGGTCCTGAAAATAAAAAAAGTGAAAATTTTTGTTTAGACCATGTTGCTCTGTTAATTACCCACAGGCCTAGAAGAGTCAAACTCAATTAAGAAATTAAGCGTAGATAATTGTTTGAAAACCCCTAAAATTGTTAATAGGTCCAAAACTATTAGAATAATGTTATAGAAATTATGATAAATTGCTAAAATTAGCAAAAAGCCTATGTGTACCACATTTATAGATTTTAATTATTATTTGATTATACTTGAATAGTCTGGCTCTAGAGTGTGAAGTGATTAACCTATAATATATACTTGTCATGAATTATTAATAGTCTTATATCTTTATATTATAGTATCTAGTTGATACCCAAGGAAGTAATATTTTGAGGAAGAGGTATCTAGGCCTGTCCATCCGAATCAGCCCGGACCCGGTTGCCCCGGGCCAGGGCCGGGCCCGGGCCTGAGCAGGCCGGGCTCCGGGTCGTCCCGGATTTTCTTTGTTTTTAAAATTTTTTAACTTTTCAAGAAGACAGAGAAAAAAATAAACACAATTTTGATAAAAATTTATATTATTAATCAATTATAATTATGTAATTTACAAATATAAAACTTTATAAAAATTAAAATGATAAAATAATATAAAATAATTATAGAATTTATAGAAACAAACAAAATTAAAAATAATTATAAAATTCAAAGTGCCCAAGAGGTCCAATCAAAGACCTCTAAATATATATGTTATGTATATATTGTTTTTATGTTTGTGTATTGAGACACACTTTTTCCATATTGACATATCTATATGTGTCCTCATTGTATTTTTGTATGTGAGTTTTGCTTAAGCATGTTTTCATCTTGCTTGCTCACATGTTTGTCTTAGTACTTTATTTCATATAAGGCATTTTGATAGGGGGAGCCATCCCTATTTCTTTTATTGTTTTTATACCCACCATGCTTATAGGTAGGGGGAGCCTTTGTTCTCTTCATTTTTTTATTTTTCTCATTTCTGATGTTGCCAAAGGGGGAGAAACAAGTGGATTGTAAGTATATTTATGAGTATTGTGCTTTATTGTATATTTTATAAACTCTTTTTGTAAATTGTTTATCATCATCAAAAAGGGAGAGATTGTTGACCTTTTTGTTTTGATAATATTTTAACAAACAATTTATAACTAATATTATTTGTCTAGTGTTTGTGTTTTCCTTATTCTAGGAAAACAATATGTTGGAGGTTGGATGGAATTGCGTCATAACGATCATATCAAATGGAGGTTGGTGGAATTAGTAGGTATGAAGCCATTTGCACTTAAAGTCATATTCAAGATCAAGCTTCATCCGTAATGTTTACTAAGTCGAGCTTATTGAAGATCAAGATAGCTTGGATAATTTAGTTTAGGTTTATATTATGTGTGTTCAATACTTTAAGCTTAATATTATATACACACATATTTTATTGATTTATATATATATATGAGAAGTGTTCCTAAGGTGACACCTTAGATAATCATCTAAGGACGCGGCCTAAAATCACATGAGTGAGATATATTATGGATGATCCGTTCCGTTGAACTTGATCTTCATATTCTAAAATCCCAACACACCAAGTTTGGGGTGAACCCATCATCATTTGACCCTCTGTCGAGCCATGTGAAAAGTTCTATTCATTCGAAACCATTAAAATTGATACGAGTGGATGAAGGATCAAACGAGGACGGGTTTACCCCAAACTTAGTGTGTTGGGGTTTTAGAATATGTAGATCAAGTTCAACAGAGCGGATCATCCACAATGTAGCTCAATCATGTGATTTTAGGCCGCGTCCTTAGATGATTATCTAATGCGTCACCTTAGGAACACTTCTATATATTATATATATATATATATATATATATATAGTATTTTATTATTAAAAATTTTAGGTTTAATTCTCCGTCTCAGAATGCAACAAA